CCCCAAAACCCCAAAACCCCAAAACCCCAAAACCCCAATAAAAATAAAAATTATTGAAAATGGAAGATAAATTTATAGAGAGACCATTACGAAAAAATTATGATTCCATAGAAGTGCTAGAATCAATTAAAGCAATAGCTGATGAGATATCGATGATAGCTGATAAGGAAGATGATGATATTTTCTTCCAGGAGCTTCCTTCACATCCTCTAAAACCAAAACTCAACACCCATAAAGAATCTTCTCAATTTTACTCAATAATAGACCAAAACACCTTAGAAACAGCTTCTCCAGATGTCCCCAGGAAGATAATTCAGAAGAAGCAGAAATAAGCTTAAAAAGAGCTTCAAATATGAAATCCCAGCTAGAAAATCCAAGAAAGTTGAAAAGGGGCCTCAGACACCTTCTGAGCTAAAATACGCTCAATTCTGAGATTCTGGAAAAGTATATGACCGTTTGTTCAGCGACAGCATGAGGCTTGACAAAGTAATGATGAACAAGTCGAACTATTACAAGTAATATAACCCTTTGATCCTTAGAGAACAAGAGGACCAGGAGATAAAAGATAAGCCTGAAATCTGTACTTTTCCCGTATAACCTCTAGACTGAAACCCTGAATACGAAGACAGAGCCTTTAGGAATCTGTACAAAATGACTCACCTCAGACAAGAAAGGTTAAAGGAATGGGAAAAGGAGAGACTCGTAATTTCTTAGCTTAATCTCTCTCTAGGCCAAAGAGAAAGAAAAGGAAGAGCAAGAGCTTAAAGAAATGGAAAAATACCAAATAAAAGGAAAAATTTCTGTTGGAAAGTACCTAGATTCTTATCTTCTCTAGATTCAATCAGAAGTATGAGCAGCATATTAAGAGGTACCAAAACAAAATACAGGAGAATACTGAGATCAGAGAGCAGAATGAAGTAGGAGATCACACCTTTAAGCCCAAGATCAAGAAGTATAAAGTCAAAGGGTCTAAAAGTATGTATTTAATTTGCCATTTTGCATAGCTACCAGAGTCAAAAGGAAGAATTATTGGAAAAATGAATGCACCTTCAAACCCCAGATCAACAAGAAAATGAAAGCTACTTCCAGAAACAAGTCAAAGAAAATGAAGGGAGTCACTCAAATAGAGATGAAAAAGACCGAAGACTATCTCCCAAAAGAAATTCTTTTAGCCTTCCAAAGCAGGTCCAAAGACTCATCTAGTTTCACCCAAAACGAGAGCCGTATAAACCTCGATATCTCCAACAGCCCTCACTCCAAAGACCCTCTCCCACCAGCCGCCACAGACCCACTCACCTCAGACCCTTCCAAGCCCACTAGTGGTCCTCTAGAAGCTTTTGAGCCCTCTCCTGATTTCAAAAGAACCAATACAGTAGAGCCTTCCAATTTCCCTTTGAACGAGGACATCCAGGTGACTCCTCCAAAATCTCCGTAGCCACAAAACTGAGGAAGCTATTGATGGTATTCAATTTTTGAATAAAGGGTCGGGGTTTTGGGGTTTTGGGGTTTTGGGGTTTTGGGG